TCAAGTGGCTCTCCTGTCACCTCTCTGACCTCACCTCAGACCTACTCTCTCCCTGGCTGGCTCCACTCTAATCACACTCTGTTACTTGCTTGTCTTGGAAAACTCCAGGCACACATCTGTCTCATGCCCCTTGCTTTCTATTCCTTCTGTTGAAATGTTCTCCCTCCAAAAAATTGCACGACTTACTCCTCTCCTCCATCAAGTTTTTACTCAAAAGTTTCTTTCCTATCAAATATTGCAGAGTTTCCCTGCTCAGAGTTAAGCAAAGTCAAGGTTAAGAGCTCAGTCCTTAGACTTCCAAATTGCCCTAAGATTTCTGACACCAGTTGTAAGTTCAGGGTCCCCAGGACCACTCTCACTTCAGACTAGCTGGCTACAAATTTGGGGTCCCACAAACTCCCTCAGATTTGCGAGTTCACTAGAATGACTCACAGAACTCAGGAAGTGTGATCATTACAATTAGAGTTTAAATAAAACAAAAAGACGTACATCAGAACCAGTCAAAAGAAGAGATACGTAAAACAGGGTCTGGTACTGACAGGGTTCCAAAGGCAAAGCTTCTGTATCCTCAGAGATAGTCTACAATGTGCAGATGAAGTATTGCCAATCCGATAAGCTCATGTGAGCTTGAGGTCCAGAGTTTTATTTGCATTTCATTATATAGGCATAATTGATTGAATTATCAGCTATATGGTTGAACTCAATCTTCAGCCCCCTCCCCTTCTGGAGATCAGGCTGATATCAAGTGGCTCAAAGTCCCAACCCTCTAATCAAGTGGTTGGTCTTTCTGGAATGGCCAGTTCCTTTCCTAAGATTGTCAGTGTGAACAGTCCCACCCTAAGTCTTGTCATTAGCAAAAGCCACCAGGTGCACACCATGAGTGACCTTGTTAGCATAAACTATCAGTTATGGTGCAAAATTCCAAAGATGCAGAGGTTATCTCACAGGAACTGTGGACAAGAGCCAGTCAAATTCATTTTCATACACTCCCTCACCATGCACACCCTAATACTTGCTCACTAGTCATTTCCTATTATCCCCACTCTCCATTTTATTATCTCCAGCAGCTGTTACTGTTGAACGTATTATGTATTTTATCTTGTTAATTGTCCATCTTCCTCATAGAATGAAAAATATAAGAGGCAGGAATTTTTGTCTACTGTCTTTGTTAAATCTTCTGTGACTCAAATAAGCCTGATGTGGTATGCACTCAATAAATATTTGTTGAATGAATGAATGAATGGATTTCTTCTCTAAATTCAGATCCTCTTATACCCTTCCATTCTTTAATTTAAGATACAATTTTATTTGTATACCATGCACAGAATATGAATCCTTGAATATTTGCATATTTAAGAATTATCCAATGTAAACTGTATCCGCTTAGTCTTCTTATGACAGTGGAATACTTCAGGTGAGCTTTCAATTTATAACTATTAATTATGGCTTCATTTTACTAGTTATAAAGCATACTGAAATATACTCACTTTAAAATCACTGTATAGTTTACTTAGAAATCGTAATCTCTGATTTTTTAATCTAATTTAATTTTTTATCCCCAAAGCCCCAGTAGGTAGTTGTATATCCTAATTGCAAATCATTCTAGTTCCTCTATGAGGGAAGCCACCTCAGCATGGCTTGATAAGCCATGCTAGGTCTGTGCCCAGGATCCGAACCAGCAAACCCCGGGCTGCCAAATTGGAGTACATGAACTTAACCACTTGGCCATGGAGCTAGCCCATGAATTTTTGATTTTTAATTTAATAATCAAAAAGAATCAATTCTTGTGTAGCACTGGGTAGGCAATATTGGGATATATAACCACAAGAAAACTTGATGCATGAAGCCGAATGCATACTGCTTCTTCATATCAGGCATCCTGAGTCAGTTACTGTCGTTTCAAAAAATCCATTCATAAAATGAATTATCAAATCTGTCCTCAAATATCAATAACAAGCAGGTAATTTCCTGAAATACGGATGTTGGGAAGATGCTCTCTGCCTTTTTCGGCTGAATAAGCTGTGTCTTAAAACTTTTCAAACCTACATAAGAGGAAAACTACAATGGATGATTTTTAGACAACTTTTCTATACCACAAAATAGAAAAAGCACCTGATACTCAAGTAAACTGAAGAACTCAAGTAAAAATAAAGCATAGGTTTCTCCATTTCTTGTGAAATTTTAGGTATTATCAGTTTGAAGTCTTTATTTTATGACAACAGAAAATATTTTTGAAAAATAGCAAAGTCAAGATGTTTAAATTTATCTTATAATTTTGAGATAAATTATACAGTGTTGCAGAATTGTCTATCTGGGAAATATGTTGTATTTCACAAAGTTTTTATTTGATACAGATAGGAAGAGAATTATATCTAAGTTTTAAACTCTTTGGAGATTTCTTCAAATTATAGAGTAAATGCTCCATCACTTCAATCACTATTTCAATCACTTTTTGAAAACTATATCTGCATCCATAGGCAAAGAAATTTTATTATCTCTGTATTACAATTTGGAATGTCATGAGTTGTTTCATAGGACAAAGGTTGTTAAATGAACACTGGCAGTGCCATTAGTGCTTTGCTCTTGAACTCAAGTACATGTCAGCTCTGTTTAAGTCACCATTTGCAAAGCCAGAAATGAATGTGCAGTTAAAATGGTGCCATAAGTTAATTAGAGTGGAATTAGAAGAAAAGTGGGCAATTTAGGAACATAAGAATTGCTGTACCGAATCAAACCAATGATTCCCCTGGTTTAATATCCAGCCTCCAGCAGCTGTACTTGTTAGTTTCTAAAGCTTTGAAAGAAAGGGAAAAGACTACATAATTCACCTAGACAACTGTGCCTTCTGTGATCTGGAGAAATTTTCTTCAGGACATCTCTCAAATAATACCCTAAAGCAGGAGGTTTCAATCCTACCATGATACTGGTTTAGCTTGAATAGCTCTGGTTATTAATAATTCTTATTAAATCATCCAATTCCGACATAAAGTCAACTAGTCCATTGGGAAGCTATTTATCTCTAAAGCTCCTGAATCCATGGTTGAACATGTCTGCTCTCTGATAAAATATGAATTTATGGTACTTATTCGATACAAGTTCTTGATGTAAAATCTCCCCATAGATAACCATACTGGATAAATGCCCAATTCTCTTTCTAACCTTTTTTGGGTTCACACCAATTCTCTTTCCAAACTTTGTTGTGTTCACACCTTTTGGCAAAAAGAAGTCTTGTATATCCTATCACTACTCCCAATTTCCTATCCCTTAATAATCTACAGAAGCTATTTCAATGATCAAGAATTTTGTGTCCTGAACTTTTAGAAAAGTTCAACTAGAGTTTTTCGTATATGATTTTGCTTAAGTTAGATGCATCTAAGAGAAAGGAATGAATTACTGATTCTTATCACTTTAGGCTTCTGGTTTCTCGATTATTTTAGACACCACCTCCATGTCAATATTTCTAAAATGTTATGTTCACCATAAGCCATTTAGTCAAAAATCCCTTAAAAATAGTAAATGCCTACAAGCTAAAGTCTAAACCATTTTCCCAGGCTGTCAGAACTTAATGTGATAACATAAAGATCCTAAAGCTATAACTCTAATAGGATCTCCTCTATCCTAGAATCCAAGAAAGCTAGTTTTCTCATTGTTATTTGAATTAAGATCAACACTCATTATTTTTGCATATGTTAATTTTCTTCCCTTTCTCTCGCTTTCTCAACTTTTCTTTCTGGCTCAGGTCCTTATTTCCTCTTGTTACTTCAGCTAGAATCTCATTCCTTCAGGTAATTTCCTTTCAAATGTAATGACTGCTCCCTTTTCTGAGGATTTCTGTCTCTTGGTTTACACATGATTTATGTTACAATATGTTGTTGGTTCTTTGTTTTCATGGATGTTGTTGCTTGTAAATTCCCTGAGGGAAACTACATTTCCCATCTTTATTTGTATTTCTAGAGCCTAGTGCAGTGTTTGACTCATAATAACAGCATAAAAATATGTTAAAGAGAAATCTATAGAATCACCAGTGACCAATTAGTTGGAGCCACTTTCAAAATGTTTAGTCTCTGAGTTTTTGTTTGTGAAACCTAGCCAGTAATATATTATTGAGTGCTACAAAGGTATAAATGAAATGAAAACTATAAAATTCTGAAAAATAGAGCCCAGTAATACTGATTTAAAAATCACAATTAAAGATATGGAAAATAATGTCTCAGAAAGAGAAAATGAAAGTTCTGAATTGGCTAAGACCCATGATGTTGGGAAATGAAAGAATTCTGAGGAGAAGTAATAGGAGGCACAAAGGCAAGGAAGTGAAATAAGGAACTGCCACTAATTCCTGTTGGTTGGGTCATAAAGACAATACCTGAAAATAAGCTTGGAAATATGAGTGCACCATTTTCTTTAACCTTTATTTAAACCCACTGGGGAACTATTGAAAGATTTTTAAGCAGTGACCAGATCTAAAAGAATGTAAGGATAACTTAAATGTGAGACTGAAGGCAGTTTCCTAGAGTAATGAGGCTATTGCGTAATAAGGACATGTGTAATAAATCGGTCCCAAACTCAGGCAGTAATGAGAACAAATAGAAGGAAATAGATGTCAGAGATGTTGAGTAGATGGTATTAATGTTCACTTCGAGGAGATTGGGACTGGGATAAGGGAAGAAGATATAACAAAAGTAACACTGCCACTTTGAGCATATTTAAGTGTGAAGAAAACGTTAGCATTATTGAAATAGAAAAAAAAAATTTTCTCCCTGTACATTGAGCAGAAATGCAAGTAAAAAGTTCTTCTCTAAATTTTAATCCTACAATCTTAACTAACATACTGCTTCAAGGTACTGAAAACACTCAACCCAGTTCATTTATGCTTGACATCATCAAAACAAATCTACAATTTTTTCTGACTTTTTAAAAGCTCTTGCTGGTTTTTGAGAACAGTATTCGTTTTTCTAGCAATGACTTCAGTCGAACCATAATGTCTCTCTTTAATCTTTTAGAAATCCAAATGGGACCCAGAGCAATAGCACAAGATGGCCTGTCTTCAAGAGCACTGAACAAAAATATTTAACCTTGAATACAGAGTCACCAAAAGTGTACACCAAACTACGAGCTCAACAATGTCGATTCTGGACACTATTTTTTCCTAAAGTCTTGGAATTGACAGGTGTGTGTTATTTAGTATTTGGTTAAATGATTGGTGGTGGATTATGTAAAAGTGGAAAAGGTAGCGCATTCAAGGCATGGTGATGGTGTTAATCTGTGACTTCACAATTGCTTGATTCCAATGAGTCCATTCTTTTAACTTTCCTCCAACAAGTTTAGATATGCTTTGAGGTCTTAGTATATGAGCCACACTTTAGTAGTTAAATAAAATTAAAATAGAAATTTTCCCCTAGAGGAAGATAAAACCTAGTAGTGAAACTAAAATAGAGCCCTACTGGTTATTCAGGCACTTTTTGTGGAATTAATTAACGGATAAATGAATAAATATATAAAATAAGCTATAGAACTAAAAAATAAAAGTAATAAAATATAGAACTAAATATAATTTATACTCAAAAAGAGATAAAGACAAATTTATTGATTCATCGTAGAACCCTTGCTTTCTAAGGGGGAAAGAAACTCCAAAATTTATATATTTAATAACACAATCCAAACATTTCTAGATATTCTGAGTTTGGAAATATTTATCTAACACATACAAATATTACATAATACAATAAACAGATAGTAATTTAGTTAACTAATCTTCAAGAAATGATTACTTAGACTTATGTAAGGAGATCCTAAAAAAACTGGTTCAGATTATCACATTATTTCAAAATTAATTAGTAAAAAAGTGTAAATCAACTTGAATGATCACATCTTCTGTGAGAAAAATGAAATACACATCCAAATCACTGCCTGTTTTTAAAATGCCCAGCTGTTTATAACCCATATGGCTCCTGAAGTCTATTTTCTAGCTTTATTTTTCAAATAAAAGTTCAAATACAGTTTCAACCATCAGACATTTTGCTGGCCAGTTCCTTTAGACTTCACCATTCTGTTCATCATAACACTCTGCCATTTTCATGCTGTGCATTAGATATCACAGTATAGTAGATTTTTTAGTTTCTTGTTTAGAGAGGTTAGGGGTTAGTTTCAGGAAAATATGGGCATCTCAGAGCTATATTTGATTGTTTAATATGCCTTGTGATTATCAGACATTACTCACCAAAATTATAATTATGTCCTCCATCTGTTTGGGAGATGTTCCTGGTATACCAGTGCTCTGTGTATTACCAAATGTTCTGTGACATAATATATATCCAGAGATGGCTTCTGCCGCCCTTGGCAGAGCTACAGTGCTGCCCTTGTGTCCTCCGGGTGTGAATAACAATGAGGTAACGCATTCAGTCTGCCAAGAGATCAGAAGAGGTGCCATTTAACATACCACAGCCTACACATTCTTAATCTTTACTTACTGGTTTTTTAAATGAGAGGGTCGTAATTGAGGGACAATAAGAAGGGAGTGAAGAGGATTTTAAATAACTAATTTATTACAAGCCGAACTGAGTCTTTCTGGTTCAAGCACATATGGTTTATTGCAATTTATTTGTTGATAAAATAGAATTTGAATATCAGTAATTTTTGAAGATGTACTTCAAAATCTTTATCTTTAAATACGCAACTGCCATAAAGCAGGTTGTATAAGTGTTTGGCTAGTTTTGCTGCTGCTTCTGATGCAGTGCCAAACAACTTACCAGCTCCAGCCATACTCAGCTGGATGGAAGTATGATACATTCCTTGCTCCGGGTTAGTATCATGCTCTGGGATAGTTCCAATGTGTCTTGAGGACAATTTTATATTTTAGCACTATATTTTTTTTCAGATAATTCCCCCCTAAAAGTTGTATTAAAATTATTTTATAAATTTTAAAGTAAATGCAGGATATGATCGTTGTAACATCAATGTTTTCATTAATAATCAAAAATTTTTAACATTTAAACAAACAAAGCCAGTTTGAAGTTAGGTTTGGGGAAGTTTTATAAGTAAACAATGTAGGGGAATTAAAAAGATCAAGAACACATCTTCTTACCATACCTTATATTTTTCAAAGTGAAATTTTCACAAAACTTCAAACATTTCAGTCTTTAATGTTTTGAAAATTTATTCAGATGACTTGGGCTGAAGTTTTTTGGAAATAATTTTTTTAATAAAGGCAGCTCTACAAGTAAAGGAAAATTTCAGAGAATAACTACTGATTAGATTGCCTAAAAGGGGAAATGTTCAACTCACTCAAGATGGAGCCCCAATAAGCTTTATAAGTAACACTGAAGGAATACTTTACATTTGAGCAACAAATCTTCTCAAATAAAATGATCCTTAAGACTTGTTTAAATACATGAATTCCAGCATTTAACTTCCATACTATACTTCAGCACATGCCTGTGCTGTTACTGCATGCACCTGCAAGAAAAAAAAACGTGCAATATTCGTTTCAAATCAAATTCAGATGTTTTCCTAAGAATGTAACTGCACAATATCTCAGAATCATTTAAAAAAGAAAGAAAAAGAAATAGAAAAATGACCCATTCAATGTCAATAAGATATCAATATTTTTCACTAAAAGTGGAAGAGCAAATTTATTTAAAGGAAAATCATCTTTGACCTTCACGTCTTCCCAGTGAAGAAAAAGAGATCCAGTGGTTTCTCCTTTGGCATTTGAATAAATCATGAAACATTGTTGCTTGCCAAAACTAAAGAAGACTAGATATAAATCTAAGAGCTGAGATACCTCTTGGATTGGTCGCTTGGGAAAATCATTTACTGGTATTTGCTAATCAGTTAGCAAGACTGGCAGCCAAAGATGAGTGAGCGGAATGGTGGTTAGGAGAAAAAAACTGTTTTGCTGTTTTTGTATTTGAATTTTCCATTCCTCACTAAAAGAAAAACAAAACAAAAAAATAAACAAAAGGCTTTGGGTAACTTGATAATCAAACCCAATTATTTTTTGTTTTACTTTAGAAGTGTATGTGGGCTGGCCCCATGGCCAAGTGGTTAGCTTTGTATGTTCTGCTTCCCCAGCCCAGGGTTTCGTCAGTTCAGATCCTGGGCACAGACTTAGCACCGCTCATCAGGCCATGCTGAGGAGGCATCCCAGATAGCACAACCAGAAGGACCTACAGCTAGAATATACAACTATGTACTGAGGGGATTTGGGGAGCAGAAGAAGAAAAAAAAAAGATTGGCAACAGATGTTAGCTTAGGTACCGATCTTTAAAAAAAAAAAAGCGTATGAACCGTTCACAAAGCCTAGCTTGAGTTTGTAGTAGTTCACTCTATCTTACCCCACACTCAAAATAGTAGCAGGACAACTAATAAGTTTGTGATCTACAGCATAAAGAATTATACATTCCTTGGTAATTTTAATAATTGGTCAACAAATAGGGAAATAAGCAAATAATGCGGACGGGAGAGATTTTCAACAAACTCTCAAAGTATATGAAATATGGTGGTTTTTAAATTATAATGCTCAGCACAATACAATGTTAATTTAATCTCTTGTTCTAACTTTGTCTCCATTACGAGTTTTGGGTTGAGACACCTCTCCTGTGTTCCCTCCTAACGCTCAGTCTTGATTAAATAGACTCGGCTCTGGTGAAATACTGCTCACTCTTTTTTAATTGCAACACAAAAACTAGTTTTATTATTATTACTCTTTCCATAGGGAAGAAAGCCTGACTTTCTTTTTTCCAAATTAGACAATAATGTGGGCAAGGCAAAGCCCTGAAAATGTTGTGTCCGTTTGTTTATGAACTACTGGTATTGATCTAGCTGTACAAGGATTCAATAAAGGGCAAAGTTAGGAATAAATTTTTGTAACAAGGGCAGTAACTCCATTAGTGTAGCTCTGATAGGTGCATAGAGCTTGATAATGTACACACCATCTGATTTGTCCTTCACAGTAACACTGCAAAATGGGGATTACCAATCTCATTTACACTTGGAAAAGTATTTTCAAAAGTTAAGGATTTTTTCAAGGTCAAGCTGAAATTTCAACCCATGGCTCTCCAAAGCCTATAGTGCTGTCCTTTATTTCACACTGCAGTATCTTGTTAAGTACAGAACAAATAGAGCTACATCTCATAGATGATAAATCTATAACCAGTTAAGTAGCATTCTAGTTTTGGAGGAAGAAGAGAAAGAAAGGGAGGAGAAAAATTTCTAATTTTGGCTTTGATTTGTGTGATGGGACTCACAATTTTTATTATCTTTTTACTATGATATATTCAGTTCCTCTGGATTCTATTAGAAAATAATCAAATGTTTCATATTTTATTGTCTCAATGTTCAGTACTTTTAAGGGAAGAATGTACTCAGGTTTACTAAGCATTTGTACACTAAAAAGTAAACTATTTCAATACACTAAATTGTATAGATGTTTGATTATGACACATATGGAAATAAATTTACATTTATATGAATCAATGGATTTGGTATTATTCCATGAACAAGAAAAGAAAATCAAATCTAGGACCTTTTCCATAAGTATTAAAATTCATGATCTAAATGCTAAATTACCAATCATTTATTTATTATATCAAAATTTTGTTCTTTCTGAACTTTAGAGGCTTTATTTTGCATAACATTTAAAACAGCATTTAATTATAAAAAAGAATGCAATAGTGAATCATTTGGCATACTATTTAGTGTCTTTCATCCACATCTTAGTTTTTTGACTCTTTAGAAAAGTTCTATTATTCACAAAATAATTATAGTCATTGACCTTTTAAAAGCCATTTTTACATAAAAATGGGACATTTTTGCATATATTCTCAAATATTTGTCCAATGTCCAAGCATTATGAATATTTCAAACCTAAATATATCCTAAATTACAGGGCATATTTTAATGGCTGTACGAATGTTTTAAATATTTTGATTTTCATGTAAACTAAAAATGACTCATTGAATGTGCTCCATTGTTAATAGTGTGAACGAAAAGAAGACATTTTTTCATGTATACTATAATATAGTATGAGACCACATGAAGTGTCTTCTCCAAATTAATATCTTATAAAGTTACAATTAATTTCAAAAATTCCCAACTGAAAAATGTATATTAAAATAATTTTATCCTTGTTTACAGGATAGTTGAAGTAACTTACAATTTTGGCTTTAATTCAGTGAGTATAGCTCAGCATCCTAAAATTTTTAATAGTAAGAGAATTACAAATGTATGAAATACTTATAGATTTAAGTAATTTAAACCATCTTCTAGCCTTACCATATCTATTTATATTAGGAACATAAATATATGATCTTTAAAAGTTTGTAAGTAAAGAGTTTTTATTGTTCACAAACTTTATTCTTTAACATAATACACTTTCAAATGAATCGATAATTCAAGGTTTTAGTAGTACGCAGGCCTTTTTTTGTTCATTGCCTCCCATTATTTCTGGCATAAACACTTCTCTGGCCTGACACATACACACACTTTGCAAACTACTGGAAAGCAGCGATTGTCTCTGTCATCCTTCTAATTTGCAAAGCAATTAATGAACTGCTTTTGCGTAGTGGTTTCAATAAAGTGCTTTCAATGACTACACGTTGTTTGGAATTAAAATATATGGATATAGGATGAGTGTAAAATTTATGTAGAATGCCAATTGCAAAGTTATCCTTATGCATTAATATTCATTACAAACATTTTCATCAGAAATAATAGCCTGCTATATAATTATATGTAAATGAGATGCATTAAATGAGATTTTTGTTATGTGTACAGAGGTCAAAAAAATAGAATAATATCTATATATCTTCTTAGAAACTAAAGTAAATATAAAGTAATATAATTTGGTATAATACATAAACTGATTTTTGCGTTTTATGTTATGTACATTCTATACATATATATTATTTACATTTTCATATAATGTATAAAATTTTATTAGAAGATTTTCAGTTAGTGAAAGAACCTAGTAATAAATTATGAAGAATAAAAAATTGCTGTACACTGTACTTAGAGAAAATGGATCTGTAATCAAAGTTATTTTTCAATTAATGTAAACAGATTAAAAGTTAGATTAATGCAATTTATTCCATGTTTTACAGGAAATATTGATGAAGCAGAACGAGAATGGAAAGCAGGATTCCATCGCTGGAACAATTACATGATGGACTGGAAAAATCAATTTAACGATTACACTAGCAAGAAAGAAAGCTGTTCAGGTCTCTAATTAATAGATTTACCCTTTATAGAAGGTTCCTTGTCCTGTAGATCAAGGCAAAAATATCAGTAGCTTTCTCACACACCTAATAGGAAAGTTCTTATGTAGCCTAAACAAAAAGGCCAGAAGGATAATATCGATTCCTCACTTCTTTCATTTAGTGTTGTACCTAGCATTTCAAAATCCAAATGGCTAGAACGTGTTTAATTAAATTTCACAATATAAAGTTTGACAATTAATTGTATGCATATTAAAATGATTTGCAGCTTCTAACTCTCTGTTTCCCGAATAACTTTAAAAAATGTTTCCCCTGAAAGTATCTACATTCTGGTTTTAGTTGCATATATATTTTCATTACCACTCATAAAAAGGTATCTTTTTAAAATGAATTAGGTCTTGAAACACTGGCCACTATAATCTACAGTACTGCTTCTTTTAATTTATAAATTTAATGTCAATATGAGATATTAAAATGAACGGAGAAAATAAGTGGCCCCTTTGTTTTTTATGTAAAAGCATGAGAAAATCTTAAAATAAAACCTCGGTCACTTGGAAACACCTTATGATAGAAACAAAATGTTGCTGCCAAGAGACAAAATGTAAAAGAATGGAATTATTTCTGTTTCGTATTTTTAAAAATATGTATGCTTAGAGTCCTCCAATTGTATTCCTTATTCTTTCAACTGTTCCCTTTCCTCATCTGCCTGCTTCTAGACTCTCCCTAAACGTTTACATATGTAAATTACTGTTTCTGTGTCTCAAAAATAAAAACTATAGATGAGCAGCAATCTAAAATCAGATGTCATGTACCATCTGGGATAGGGGAAAACTTGGCTGGACTCACAAATATTAAGATTTTAATAGGGAAATTGTTCACTTCCAGGAGAGAAATGGTTATACCTTCTGCAGACAAATGATAGTATTTTTATAATTTAAAAACTTACGAGGATGCATTTACTAACTTGCATGGCATGGTAACACATCCAGTGACTAAATTCACTAAGTAATTCACTGAAAGGGAGAAGTTGAAGGATTTTAAGTTCCAGAAAAGGGCATACTTATTGATCATGCTAATTACGCATTGAAAACTAGCACTCAGGATAGGACAAAGTGAGTCTATAGGTCTCTGGAGTGTTGGTTAAGGCATGCACCATTGTTCCTTGGTCCTAAGTATGTCTATAGTTAGATCCAATATGGGTCTGCCATCCTCATTCAAAGAGTCACTCAAAGATCATGGTACTTTCTCAGTTTCAGCTGGTTACAGAGAATTGCTATACAAGCAAAGTTAGTTTTGATATTACTTCAGTGCTGCTGTAAATGGACATTTTGCTTTACAGTTCTTTCCTCCTCCTGAGATGAAACACACACACACACACAAATGACTAGAGAATTATCAGGCCTCCCATTCTATACCACGATCTTGGTTTCAGGTGCCATTCTTCCAGAATCCATTATGTTTTTCTGAATCACTTGAGCCTCCTTTTGAAGCAAGCGCCTCTGACATATGAAACAAGAGGATGATGGCTGTTCAACAGCATTAAAGACCCTTTAAAAATACTCTTGGGGCTGGCCCGGTGGCATAGTGGTTAAGTTCTCATGCTCTGTTTTGGCATCCCGGGCTTTGCCAGTTCAGATCCTGGGCATGGACCTGCACACCACTTAACAAGCCATGCTGAGGCAGTGTTCCCCCATGGAAGAAACAGAAGGACATACAACTAGGATATATAACTATGTACTGGGACTTTGGGGAGAAAAAAAAAATACTCTTGATGAGAATAATAATTAGGAAAACATAACTAATGTTTGCAGAATACCTGTAACCTTCCTCACATGACAAACCCCAGTCATATAAAAAGATCCCATCAACTACTTGTCCCACCTTGGACAACTAGTTGCTTTGTTCTTGAATGTCAGCCAGACTCCCTTCACTTACTCTGAAGCTTTTACCCAAAGGCAACAAGAAGTGTTAGCCAGCACATAAACCCCTCTGAGGTTATTCTTTGAATAAACTAATGTGAATCCACTGTGTCCAGCATCGCTGCAGGAAGTCAGGTTAAGGCTTTTTTTAAAAAAACACTCATATAATAGAGTCTATATCATTTCCCTTATAATTTCTCTTATGGTTGTCATTAAAGGGCAGTTTAAAAGCAGGATTCTAATTCAGGGACCCCAAACCAGGGAAGGAACTTATGCATAAAGTAAGGGAAATCAGTATCTCTGACTTCTTGGAAATTTGCGTTTCAGGAGGCTCACAGATGAGAGAAAGTTTGGTTACGCGAGATATTAACGATATATAAGTATTAAAACCTCAAAATGGCAGAAAACCCTTCCCAGAAGGCAGAGTGTGGGGAGCTGTTAACTTATCATGTGTACCCAAAGCCACAGAGGTTATGAACTAATTTTCGTAAATTTTTTAGGTACATTTCTAAAAAACTTGAGGGACAGTTAAGGTAAAAGTTTACAACAGAACAAATGTAATTTGTCCAACCAGTGTCAGGATACCTAGCTTAATCAATTATTTCAGTGAAAAAGTGTTATTATTTCTTGTGGTGTGGCACCATCTGTAAGACTTTACACTATATATCCTTACTGAAAAATGATTATCCCTTATGGTTTAGTATCCATGTAATATTTATAAGGATTAAGGTAACAAGTCACATATCTTAAGAAAATACCATTATAACTAGTTTTGTTTTTCCAAAAAAAATGTCTGCTGAATATTATTAGCATGCAGGGTATAATTTTTAAAAGTAAGGCAATTAATTTCTGCCCAATCAGAAATTAAATTTCATGGATAAACCTTAACATAATTGCAGCTGTGACATTTTTATCAGAATATTCTAATAAATGGAACCTTCCTGACATTACTGAAGAAGGATGACAAACTCAACTGTTAGAGTTTCCCTTTGCAGCTGTAGCCTTACTGAATTCAGCAAAAGTGTTCTCATTACAAATAGTTTGTTTTAAAATTAGGGTAGTAAGAAAAATAAGAAATGTAAGTTTTTTGACTAAATGTACTTAATATAAATGTAAACCAAGAGTGCTGTTTATCAACACAATCTTGGTGAAGCTTTAGACTGTCAGAGAATAAAGCAAAGACTACCAGAATTAAACACAGGTACATGCGCATTTGCCTTCATATATACAGCCAGGAGTCCAGCAAGGGATCACAGTGAAGAAATTCATGGAATGGTTCGAAGAGGGTGGAATAAACAAGGGTTTTGGAGTGTTCAAAAACAAGAGTGTGGGCCAGCCTCAGTGGCCTAGTGGTTAAGTTCAGCACGCTCCACTTCAGTGGCCCGGGTTTGGCTCCTGGGTGTGGATCTACACCACTCTGGTAGCAGCCATGCTGTGCTGGCAGCCCTCATGCTAAAAAATAGAGGAAGATTGACATACATGTTAGCTCAGGGAGAATCTTCTTCAGCAAAATAAAATAACAAAACAAGAGTGCATACGGCCGTATGATGGTCACATGGTCATCTAATCAAACATCAAAAACTAAAGTAAGATATAAAATATATTTCATAAATACAAATGCAGTATATATTTATTGTGCATAAATATATAATTATAAAATCAATGTTAAAATATATAAGACAATATATATTATATTAGGGCCAGTTGTGATAAAAGAAAATAGACATTTTGGTATGTCATTGGTAAGTGCTGCTGTAATGGGAAAACATTTTATTTACAAATTAATTGAACAGACAGATAATAGACTGAGTATATGTCAGTAACTGAGGAACATTGTCAATCAAAATATGAGGAAGGCACTGCAAGGAGCAGAAAAGATAAAACCATTACATATCCATGCAACAAGTTTAATGCTATATCCAAATGTGAACAACATCTAAAATTCAGAATTTTCTTGGAAACAAAGAAAGACCAGAGAGGCAGGGAGGGAAAGAGGGAGAGAGGAAGGGAGGAAGGTAGGAAGGAGGAAAGAAGGAGCGAGAGAGGAAATACAGGACTGGGAGAAGGAAGGAAGGAAGCAAGGAACTTCCTTTCTCAATTAGGACCCAACTTTCATGAGTTTAGCTTGCCTTGTTTTGTCTTATCCCTGGTCCAAAATCTCACTATGAGAGTTATCAATTGATGACCTAATAAGGCAATATAAGTGGCATATTGATTTTAGAAGTGAATGCTAACATAAGTAGCCATACGTGCACAACACAAAACCTCAGTTATCTCACAAAAAAAGGCTGTTTTTCCCTCCAGATATTGCCCATTTTCTTAGCCTAGTTTAATCCTTTATGGATTTCACATGAAAGGTGAAAAACACGAACTGTCAACGCCTTGATGTTCACCTCCAGATTCACCCCTGGGTTCCCAGCCAGGAGCCGCTTGCACAATGCCACCACTCTGGGGATGGTGCTTATTGATTGAGTAGGTGAATGGGAGGATGACATACAGCAGAGTCCAGTTTCGCCGTGTAGGAGAAAATTGCATTGTGAGTCTTTGGGGGCCCAGGAGGGAGCATGATAAAAAAGTAGAAAAGAAGACGAAGAAGAAAAGGAGGAGGAGGAGAAAAGGGAGAGCCACCACTGCCAGGCGCTGGAACTGAATTTATCCAGATGAGCTGTCCAGGCACTTGAGAGTTTCAGGGTAGAAGAGGTGATGAGATATTAACAACCTCTGACCTTGACTACACGTTAGAATCCCTGGGGATAACTGTGGCCTGTGCACAGCAGGCCAATTAAATCAGAATAGCTAAGATTAGAGTCTAGACATCAGTATTTTTTAAAAGTGTTGCAGGTGATTCTGATTTCATCAGGTTGAGATGTGCTGATTGACTTCCCTGTGATAGCACTGCTTGCCTTGAAAGGCTTAAGGAGGATGTTTCTCTAGAGAAGAAATTATAGATCCTAGATTAGGAATTTCCAAACTTTGTCACATGTTAGAATCACCCAGGAAGTTATTAAAAATCCTAGTATCCATGCCACACCCCATACCAATTAAATCGCAATGTAGGGGTGGCAGCCAGGCATCAGTGTTTCTTTCTTCTGCTGCCAATCCTCCTCTTTTTGCTGAGGAAGGCTGGCCCTGAGCTAACATCCATGCCCATCTTCCATCTACTTTATGCGTGGGATGCCTACCACAGCATGGCTTGCTATGAGGTGCCATGTCCGAACCCAGGATCCAAACTGGCGAACCAGGGGCTGCCAAAGCAGAATGTGTGAACCTAACCGCTGCGCCACCAGGCAGGCCACAAGTCAGTATTTCTTAATGATCCCTGATTGTTTCCAGCATACAGCAACGTTTGGGAACCAAGGGCTCTTTCTACATGGTTAATTGAAAGAACTGGGAGGATATTCATATTGTTTTAGTATTCATAAGCAGATAACTATAAAATTTGAAACTTTGTGTGAGAAAGAAATGTACTTATTACTGATATATGAGAACCTAATAGTTTTTCTCTGAACAAGGAGCTGCAACAGAGATTCCTGAATGTGTAGAATAAATTTGGGGTGCGCACATTTTTCTAAGACCTCTACACTGGAAAATTATCTTTTCAGGGTATCATTTTTACTGATAAATCTATGCTTTGGGGAGAGGAATGTTTGAAAAGTAAGAACGAGTAAATGAAATATATATAATATTTTACACCGGTTTGTATAATAGCAGTTATTAAGGAAGATCATTGTTGGCTTTGAGCTAACCCAGAATTTACTCACTTGACAATAACTGATAATAATAATTCAGAGTTAAGAAAAGGAATTTTAATTCAGTTTTTCCATTGCACATTTCATGTAAAAAGTATCGACTGTCCAGTGAATTCTCAAAAATACAAGTAATCATTCTTGCCAGGCTCATAAAGAGGTATTGTCGGGCTTAATTACTTAACGATTATTAAACTAGGTAGGTGAGTACTAAGAGTTGATTTCCCCTCAGAAGAATTAGCAGAAGTCCTTTGCTTGAAGCAATTACTTTTAACTTGTTTTTCTGAAGTGAGACCTTCCATTCTCTTTTAATTGTTTTTTATCTCCTTCAATGGTTCAGGGAGAAAAAGGGAAAAAATATCTTATCAAAGAAGTCTCTGGGGAATAAACTATAAAAACGTATTTAACAACGTTAAGCATTCTCAAATTCTTGAAATGAATATGAGAAGAGAATATCGATCAAAGGATCTGTCTATCTATCATCTATGTATTTATCACCTATCTAGGATAACCGCTGCCAATTTTAGCCTAAGGGGGAATGAAAACCAGAGGAAAACCACATACTAATATGTCTGATCCAGCCGGAATGTAAATTCAAAATCGTTGCCTTGACCAGCATAGTCTTAACATTCCCCTGCACTTGCTTAAACTTTCGACAGATTTCTTCCTGACTATATGCCTCTGACCTCTTGTTTTTAGAGCATTTACTTCAGAAGTTTTGCAGTTGTAAATTCTTTCTCTGCCCCTTTAAAATGTATGTAAATCTCCCAGCCTCTTGCCACTTTTACTATCTAGGAAAGGTCTTTCTCAAGGATCTGGGAACTATCACTTTGAAATTAAACATTAAAAGAGAGTGCCTCCGTCTCCCAGCTCTGTGGGAAAGTAGGAGCCGAACTTCAGTGAGAGCCAATTACCAAGCACAGGTGGCCTAGTCTCAGAGAAAAACATTTGCAAACTCAAAAATAACTCTATGTGCTCAACACATCCCATTGGCCAACCCGCTCCCAAATGTCCACCAGCACTTTGCCACCAGTTCACCTCAGCGCTTAAGAATCCTCACAGCTGTTGCGTCAGCAGCAGGGTTGAGTTCTGTCTCTCTCCCCTATCTCACTGGTCTTGAATGAAGTCTTCCTTGACTGTTGAACTTTGCCCAGAGCAATTTTAACTTTAAAAGCCTAAACTAAAATCCGACACTCCTTACAGTGCATAGGGCATCCTCAAATTTCTGCCAATTTTCTATTACCATATCAGCAAAGTATACATATTTTTCTGGTAGCAGATGTCCTTCAGAAAGAGTGATTCCCTTGACAATCTAATGAGGAGAGTGGCAGGACTGGCATTATGAGGTGTTGAATATCCATTTTTTTCCCAATATCTTTTAGAGCTTAGGCAGGTAATAATTTCCCTACCTGTGTTAATCTCAATTTTTTGGCACTTTTTACTTTTAGCATTTCTTAACGTTTTAGAGTATTTTTTTCTTCTTTCTTTCTACATCAAACTTATTTTCATGGTCATATTATTTTCCTGATAGAATTGCTGTCAAGAAATGGATTCTCTTTTCTTGAAATAGGATTTTTTTAGTTTCCTTTTTTCTGTCTCTCCTGTCCTCGTTCTTTTTGCTTTTTCATTAATGCAGACAAATAGCTAAAGATACTTGTGCTGTGGTCTAGGACTCACTGGTGATATAAAGAAGGACATTTACATCTGTAATGCATATTTTCATTATACTGTTAAGCCTTTGGGAACAGACCTTAGAAAATAACCTTTTCCCAGCGAAAGATTTATCGTGAAGCTAATATAACTTAAACTTTAGGAATTCTCACTTTCAAGGACTGCTTTGAAAGCACCATATGTAATTTTGCATTATTATCCTTAAACAGGGTTCTTAGAAATACATAAGTTTCAGAATGAACAAAATTTTGTTTAGCTGTTGATTTTTACCACATCAACATAAATGAGCCTTTAGTCTACAGCTCCAGGCACAAAACAACATTTTTAGTCCAGGAGGACTCCTCCTCTCCCACTGCTCTTAAAGATATTTCCATGGTTTTCTTTAGCTGAAATGCACTATCTTTGTTTTACAACATTGTAATATGCTAATTTCAAGTTACTATCTTTGTGCAAAGTAATAAGTGAGTGAAAAACTCAAATGCTAACATCTGCTGTGGCATTTCAATTTTAAACCAAATGTGTGTATAATATTCTCTTTGGTAAGTGAATTAACATTTTGACATAACCGTGAAAGATAAAATTTTAATAATCTCCTTTGGAGTTGTTTCTTTGAAGTCATGTGCAAAATATTAAGCGAGAATTCTAACAGAACACCATTCCTTCTTTCTTTAGATTTTTGAAGATTTCAAAGACGGCGCGTGTGTACCATGTTCTCCATCTCAGTTCACCTGGTGTTACAGCCAGTTAGAGAGGAAGCTATGTACTTAATCTTCAAGTAGATGGAAGGCTACCAAGGAATGCCTCTAATTCCAGAGCACCTAAGCTCCTTGATGGTTCACTGGCCCTGCTATGTGGAATTCTACCACTTCATATACACTTTTCAGCACCTGAAAAACATTCTAACTTTTCCTAGGATATTTTTCAATCATCTTTTAAATCTCTTTTTGACCATCACCATCCCTTGGAAGAATAAAAATTTGAACTATTATATGCTAATGTCCTAATGAACAGTGTTTGATTTATCCCACTACTATTACCAGTCCAATGCATAGGGTGTAAATTTCAGTAAAGTGAGTCTGGCTTGGATCCCACCTAAAGAAATTCAGTGGTGAAATGTTTTGGGACATTATCCCATTTAAATTTAGGCAGAGGGAACAAATGAGAAGGCCCTGGGGAGAACTTCTCCTCGCCTACTGTGTTCAGGGAACAGCCCGGAGGCCTAAGCTGCTGGAGGAAATAAGGCAGGGTGGTAGGAGATGAGGCTGGGAAGTTAAGAGAGGGGCCGATTAGAAGGCATCATAGGGCTTTGAGCAGATGAGTAACATGATCACAATCATACTTTATCTTAGAAGGATCACTCTGGTTCCTTGGAGTCTAGACTACATGAAGGCAAGAGTGAGTGTAGTTTAATTCTCCCATGCAAGAGATAAGAGAGGCGTAAGCTAGGTAGTAAGTACTTAGGGGAGTAAGAGGTGTTATATTTCTTATATTTCTAAGCAACAGACAAGAGGATTTGCCAAAAGACAGAAAGGAGTAAACAATAAGTACAAGATTTTTTGCCTAAATAACTGACTCAATGGATTTATCATATTCTGAGACAGGGAAAGCTGTAGGTTCAGCAGGTCTAAATAGAGAAATTAGGGTTTGGTTCAGGACAGGTTAACTTTCAAATGCCCATTAGATATCTAAGAAAGAGGCAGAGATGACACTTTGTTAAGTGACAGTAGAGTTGAGAGGGGATGTCTAGATTAGAAATATAAATTAGGATGTTTCCAGCATAAAGATGGTACATAAAGACATAGGACTGAAGGAGAATCGCTGGAAATTGAGTGTAAACGTGGACTGCACAAAGCCGGCACTCCAGCGCTGAGACTCAATTGCTGTTTAAGTCTCTGTTCAGCCACCGTGCTTACTGCTAGACATTTATGAAACAAATTCCCTCTTCTTAAGTTTCTAACCTTGACTTGTCTCCCATTCATGGGTAGTTCAACAAAATTTTTCTTCAGGAAAAGTAAACCAAGCCTTTTTATAGCTGAGAAAATCTTTTGGTTGCCTTCACAAATAAATAAATATTTGGTTGAATTTGTATCACCATTTAAATATATTTTCCTCAACTCCGTAGAATTCTCTACATATTAAAAGTCTGAGAACAATTAGATTTTTATTTCCATGCATATAATCTACATCTTCTGCTTGGATGCTTGCAAGATTTTTACATACATACATACATACATGCATGCATATATAAAATTCACAGGCTAACTCATGGCCCCCCAAAAGACATCCACTTCTTAACCCCTGGAATTTGTAAATGTTACCTTATATTGCGTAAAAGAATTTTGCAGAAGTGATTAAGTTGAAGACCTTGAGAGGGGGAGATAATATTGGATTGCCCAGGAGGGCACTAAAGGCAAGCAGATGTATCCTTATAAGGCAGAGGCAGAGGGAGAGCTGACCCACAGAAGAGGAGAAGGCAATGTGACCACAGAGGCAGAGACTGAGTGACGCAGCCACAAGCCAAAGAATGCCAGCTGCCGCCAGAAGCTAGAAGAGAAAAAGAATGAATTCTTCCATGGAGCCTGTGGGGAAGAGGTGGCTCTGCTAACACCTTGGTTTTAACAGTGAAACTGATTTCAAATTTCTTACCTCCAGGAACTGTGAGAGAATGCATTTCCATTGTTTAAGCCATCAGGTTTGTGTTAATGTACCACAGCAGCCATAGGAAACCGATGCATATGTATAAAATTTCACACAGATTTATCTAACATAATTTTCCCTAGGTTTTCAAAGATATTCTCAATCTGCCAGTAAATGTGTACCTTCATTTGGTGAAAGTTTTCATATATATGTCTTTGTTATTTTTGCTCTCTCTGCTCTGTTCTCACCTCCTGTGGTATCATACTTGGGTCAGATTACCTAGTCTGTCTGACGTTAGCCTCACTTTAATTTTTCTTTATTCTTTTCCTCAAAAATATTCTGATTTGGGAACATTTCCTTCTAGCCTTTGCTCCTCCTCTCAGATTTATCTTCTATATCTAATCCATTATTTTTATTTCACTATTATTTTCAATAAATTTTATAATTTTTATTTTGCATCCCATATGTTTTTTATTTCAACCTAATCTCTATTCATGATTCATTGTTACAATTTCATAAATGCAAAAAATTCCTTTAATCTTTTAAAAATAAATTCTTATAAATTTATAAAAATTCCTTTTATTTCTGCACCAACAGAATTTCAAAAGTACGTTATCTTTGGATATAGTCATTCCTTTTAGATGAACTATTTTTCCACTAGTCTATGCTAAGTCAGTATTATGTGATATAAATTTTGGCAGAAATAGGTGGGAAGTCCTGGTGTAATTCTTCAGATAGAGGCAAAGGAAGAGGAGACAGATTATATTTAATACAACTTTAACTTATCAGTGGGGAAATCCCACATCTGGTAGGGTCTAAGAGACAATTCTAGTGGAGAGCCCTGCCACAGGAAGGGTATTTATCTGCATTCCACTCCACAATAGGTGTGACAGAAAATTGCCTTAGCAATGTCCCGTTTCAGCTTATTTTTCACTTTACTTATTGATTTTATTTCACATGATGTCAGCCTTGTGTGGCCATGGAATGTATCAGAGTTCAACTTCAGTCTGTCTACTCTTTGTCTGGCTCAATTTTCAGTACTAGAAATATGATTGGTTAAAACAGTAGAGTCCAATTGTTGCTTACCTGCATTTTTAAAGGTTTTTAAAATTCTAACAAAGTAAAGGGATGTAGGTTGGAATCGTGTGCAACACCAATGCAGAAATTCCTATTCTGGAAAAAGAAGAAAAAAAACAACATCCTCAAAAACAGTGGGTAAATCAGTGTGTCAGAAATCTTTCATCAGAATCTCAAAGAAACATATCACCCAAGAAAAAGTAACTCAGCCACACTGCTGGCGACTGGCAATCACAATACTGGTATTGCTTTTTCTATAGACAAAGACAACTAAAAATGTATGTCAACACCAGAAAATAGTCACAGGAACTATAAAATTATTTTTACTGAGTCATGGCACTACAGTTTTCAGTTTGAGTAGCACTTTTACCAACTATTTTATTTCATTGTTATAAGCTCAATAATTCTCAGACATACTTTATATAATATGCTTATATGTTCACTAGCACTTAAAGACTCTTTTTATTTTTCATTGAGGTGTTTTCTTTTTCCAAGAGTCAAGAGGCATGATGCTGCCAACCCTGAGCTGAAATAAATCAACTCGTTGCTTAGACAGATTAAATTCACCCAATGCCTCTTCTTTTCATTGTTTTAAGATGGCACTGGTTGGCGAAGATCAAGATTAACAAGTGGGGACCACTAAGCTAAGAGATTCTAAATGCCATAATTAAATATCAGAATTTATTTTGAATATAATAATAACATATTTCAATAATAAGCTAAGGACATAATGTCCTAATTCAATAAAATCCTAAGCAAAGTTCATGCCTTATGCAAATTATTGGTCCCAGAACTCAACTCATTGAAGTTAAGAAACTAGCACAGGATTTACAGGAAAGCACTAGAACAAAAAGAAAATGAATATGAAAATAAATGATGGACAAATAACACTCACTTAGAAAAAAATGATTTCATGGAGCAGATAAAAATTGCTTTAATTGTATAAATAAAAGTTTAATATATTTCAATTAAAGAAAACATCTTAATGAAGCAAAAATTACATAACCAATAGTTCAAAGCAGAGATACAACAGTTTGGGAAAGATGTGGTAGGTAACAGAGAGAGACAACACAAAAGTTAGCAAAGCAAAGGAAAGAAGTAGGAGGAAAAGAAGAAAATCTCAGGTAAGAAGCCCACATTAGGAGCAGCATAAAAGAGAACAATCCTGGCTGAAACAGTGAAAACACGACAAGATTGAAAAATAAACAAAATGAAATAAAAGTAAAGAAAGAGTAAAAGCAGACAAAGAAGAATAGGAAAGCTTGGAAAGGAAATCCAATACAATCAGCTTGCTAAGTGTGAAAAAGCAAATAGAAGGACAAAAAGAATTGATGTAATTGAAATAAAAGTACAATATTTTGTCTGTAAATTGAAAAAGGGCACTTCCTCTAGGGGATAGATTGTTAGAGCCTATACATATCCTAGGAATTGCTTTTTTCTTTTTTGAAGATTGGCCCTGAGCTGACAGCTGTTGCCAATCTTTCTTTTTTTCTTCTTCTTCTTCTCCCCAAACCCCCCAGTACAAAGTTGTGTATTCTAATTGTAGGTCCTTCTGGTTGTGCTATGTGGGACGCTGCCTCAGCATGGCTTGATGAGCAGTGCTAGGTCCACGCCCAGGATCCAAACCAGCAAAACCCTGGGCCGCTGAAGTAGAGAGCACAAAATTAACCACTGGGCCACAGGGCCAGCCCCTATCCTAGGAATTCTACAAGACTAAAAAAATTCTTCTTTATTAGAAAGAGTAGAAAACAACATAAATGTTCACTAATAGGAAAGTATTGAAGCTGATTTACTTTATTCATAAGATGCAAAACCATGCAGCAATTAGATGGGGTAACTCTTTATGGGCTGATATGGAAAAGTCTCTAAGATTTTTTTAATTGGAAGAAAGCGATGTGAACCATATCATACATGTATTATGATTTCTATTTAAAAACAATGTATATCTGCTTGAACATACATAGAT